AGATTACAGAGTAAGAAATGGTTTGCTGGATAAGTGTTAAAGTTTTCTGACAAAATGAATTAATTTGGAACTTTTTCAGAAAAATATAATTTCCAGATTTGATATAAGTAATGAAGCATATTCAGAAAATTAGCATTATTATTAAGATTAATATATATAACTAATGTGTTGACTGATTTCTGCAATTGCATGTACTTTTCTGTCCTACTCCATGTAATACAAGATTTAATTTTCAATTTTAAGATCTGGAACTCTTCAGGAAATGAAACGATAAATATGATTAATGATTATCAAAATTAAATTCTTTATTTGATAAAACATATTATCTAACTAGTAGAAACATTTATTATAATCTTCAATACTTTTAGAAACAATATACATTGATACCAGTTACATACTGAGATTTATGAACTACAAATAAATCCTATTATCATACATGTTACAGTCTTGTCTGACAAGGAATACATCTGGTGAAATACAGCACACTTTTATTCACATTAATAAACCTTAAAGGAAGCCAGTAGTACTACTAATATGTTGTACACTTAACATTATCGGTGATTATCAATGAGTACCAGCAATTACACCGACTTCCATCAAGTGACGAAAAGTATCACAGTTACTTTATCAGATATTAAAAATCCCTGTACCGTACTGACAGAGTAATAACTGCTAATATCTTTTCAATATTAGTTTTTCTTGCCCTCTCTTAAAATGAAGATAAAAAGAGAAGAAAATATGAGGCCCTAATATGTGAGGGACAGGCAGATTTCAAAACAAATTAAAATGTATATCTTCCACACTGCTTCACTGTATATAAAAACAACTGTTACCAAAATAGCTACAGGTGATACTCATGCACCAATAGCCAGAACACCAAAGCTAAAGAGCCAGCCAGAAATACGAAAGAAGAAGAAAACTTGGAGAACTTACATGATTTGTTATCACAAGATACAGTTCTAAAAATCTAAGTAGAAAAGAAAAAAAAGAGAAGGAGGAGGGATAGTGACCTATGAATGGTTTCAAAACCTGCTAAAAATATCAATCTTTCATACTGTTTCTGTATATAAAATATTCGCCATTTTCCAAAAGGAACGCCTACAAATGATGCCTCCGCACCTCTAGCCTCATCACCGAAACTTCAGAGCCAGCCAGAGCAAGAGAAATACAAGAAAGCAAAAGGCAAACAAAATGACCATGTGGTAATTGTGGGACCCTTTGCCAATTATGCCGAGCCTCTTCATGCTTCTCTCCAGGAAATTACCCGATTTGTGGTAGTCAAGATCCTGGGAAAATATTAAAGAAACAAAATACCATGAAATTATGTCTCCACAAGATATATTGCTTGATCGTTTTCAAAATATTTACAAGATATAAATATACCCAATAAAATCTATACTGAACTGTAAGCTGGACTTTTTAACTTACCATATCATTCAGCATAGTATTCTGATTTCGAACCTCATTTCCAATATCAATTGTTAACTAGAAGAAAAAGGGTATAAATTAATATATTTAATGTTTTTATTTTTTTTATTTAGATATGTAAGTATGAATTCCATGTAAATCTTCAAAAAAATCATTCCATAGCTGCCATAATGCTTTATAAATTGTTTAAGACCCAGTAAGAAATAAAATAAGAATAGAAAAAAAAATGCAGACTTACAGATTTTAAGGCCTTGACTTTGTCTTTTAATTCTGCTGTCATGTCCTCATTTTCCTCACTCAGGTGTTGGGTGTCATTGTTATGTCCAAACTGGCCATAGGCATAGGGCCCAGTCTGAGCTGCAAAGTCAGAGAGACTTGATTAATATGCCAAAAAAAAAAAAAAAAAGAAACAAGATATCTTCTACATCTAGAAAACTAATCAACATTTTTGGAAGCAGCTCCTGTGCAACCTTACAAGTCTAAATCACATGTAGAATGAACCAACATAAGAACATTTATTAAAATATACAAATGGAAATTACATACATGATATAATATATAGAGGATCATAACACATACATATATAACAACAATCTGTTACAAAACAGTAATAAGATAAACCCTAAACCTGTGATTCTCACTTTGGTATTTGGCGAAAAAAAAAAAAAAAAAAAAAAAAAAAAAAAAAAAAAAAAAAAAAAAAAAGGGGGGGGGGGCAGATCTGAAGGTAAATAGCCAGGTAGGTCAACAACCTTCACCTTCTCCGATCACATACTGGTGGCTTATTTACCAGTAGCTTATTTGCACCTATTGATGTTCAAAGCATAGATTCTTGGATCTGATTAGCGATTATGGCCCAATCTTTACTTTCTAAAAATATCTTTTACACCAAATAGTCTTGCTTTATGCATTCTTTACAACCATAACTTTCATATCTTCACTATCTTTTTGCAGTTCTATTTTACAAGAATAGATCTTCATCAAAGAAGGATTCAGTATAATCTCTTTCTCCAGAATATACATTAGGGAAGTTTCTTGCTGTTTCCCGAAGCATGATGCAAAAGCCATGGCA